ACAGACCACAGTATCAACTGTTAACGAGCTTAATAAAGTTAAGCGTATAACGATGTGACGACAGCCAATAAACAAAAACGAAAATCATTGGGCGCACCGGGAAGTGAGTTATTAATATTCGTTAGGTATACAGTATAACGTGTTTATTAGAGAAAATGGCAATAAATCCAGAGGGTCGCGACCCGCCGCCCGGCCCGGTAGTCGCACGGTTAGCCGCAAAATGGATGGCGCGCGTGCCGCCGGAGCCCTAACGATGTTCTTCAGATCCTACTACAATATTTGATGACTTTGATTTACTTACTGGATTAAGTATATTGAGCTTTGAATAGTTAATAAACATGTTTTAGGACTGTAATAGTGATTATTAGTCCATGGGAATATTATATTCGACCCCCTCACATTCCCTTCCCAATTACTTGCTGTATTAAACATAATTTTATTACTGTTGAAAATAAATAAGTATAAGTGAAAAGATTACTAAAATAATAAATATCAGAAGCAAATGGTCCAAAACTACGATTTCGATTTTACAAAAACCTTATTTACAAATGATATAGACCAGTTTTCTTTTTTGTTACAATAAAACAAACAATAACCGATAAGAACCCACTCTGTAATTGAATAATTTCATTTTTTAACTATAATTGGTGTTTAATTTCCTATTACATTTAAACAACAATGACAGAATGCTCAAACATAGCTTACTCATCACCATAATCCCATACTTCTTACTTAAAATTGCATTCCGAATGGGCGATAGAATCATAAAAAAATACTGTTAAAAATGCTTCAAGTTTAATTGAATAATAATTTACTTGTGTTCCACAAATAAGCTGACTTGAGTTATGTCAAAACCAGTTACTTTTATTTAAAAACTAACGGAGTTTCGAGGTAATAAACATTAAAAAAAAACGAACAACCGCATTGAGAACTTTTTTTTAAAGTCGTTTTAAAATAACTTCTTTATTTCATCATTCCCTTTTCATTGTTTTCCCTGAACAACTTTCAAGAAGCATAGTGATGACTATCTTCCGTTCTTTCCCCTATTGTGTCATAAATGACGACTACGGGAACAAAACAGCATGAACGGATCCTAAAATAGGAAAACTCATAATTAAATAGTACACCAAGAGTTGTTACGGTATTTTGAACAAAATACAAATTAACGTCGTCTTAGTGTGTTTTAAGAATTTAAAAGTTATGTTCTTTACAATTCACAACTCCATTCTACATTTCCCTAATGCCATTGTGCCAATAATGTTCAATGTTGTAGAGGAGTCATAATAGAGTGTTAACGTTCAGGTGTAGTGTATTAAGCATTGGTAGTGTTATCAGTTTCAAGTCGACTGCGCGCTGACCGTCCGATACCGCGAGCTCGTCCATCATAACCATATTGCGCTTACATCGACAATATTGTGTTTCATATGCTAGCATCCAGACAACACGCCGCGGTAAAATAAACTTTATCGAATTCGTTTTAGAACAATATTTCCTATAACATGGAGACAGTAAAATCAATACACCACACAGCCACAAGCTATTCTACCCCATCATTATCTTCGCTGTAAAGTAGACTGTATTTTTAAAGTGGTAAGGTATATAATTGATTATTAACAATCAGTGTCCATGTCGTGGCTATAATGTGCACCGTCATAGCCATGAAGCACTTACTAAAGCATATCGCGTTCATCGCAAACGGAACATCAAGGAAATATAGACGTAATTAGTAGACCCATTGTTATTATTATAGATTACACAAAAAGAAGCATACTCAAATAATAATAATAAAAATTTTGGATTAAAATTTTTTATAAAAACGATTTCATTAGCAATGGGTCTATATTTTTCCCACGTTCGTATTTACAATTAAAATAGTTACCTTATAGTGTTACCACAGATAATATACAACTGTAAACATAAAATTATTTATTTTTATGATATCACAAAGAGATCTACTAAATGTGCAACTACTTTTTTTTATCTCAAAATCACGTATCAATTAATACAGTAAAAGAAAATCAAACATTATGTTGTGTACTACACATAATGTAAGTGAGTATAATACTTTTTATTTAAATAGATAAGTAATAATTGAACATTTCGATGTGTATTTCGAGTATACAAACAGATCCCACGTGTGTCAGATCGAAAGGCTGTATTTGTTGTTGATGGCTAATCGGCTTAGCTGTTCGATTCAGCAATCGTACGCCTCTATTGGGCCCCTTTACCGCGACACAATCGAAGGCGTTTCAAGAATTTATCGAAATTAATTCACAGTTTGTTTGCCCATTGTCGCGCTACCGACGACTTAGGACTATTGTGCACTGTTATTATTTATAATAATAAACGGCGATGCTTTGTTGAAATGTGTTTCCGAACGATTTAGCGGAGGCGTTACATAGGCGCATTTCGAAACTATTGTTAACAAAAGAAAATACACATAGACGTAGTAAAAAACATTTTCTAGCAATTCATAATTTTCAATTTTAAATATATATGTAATTGTTCTACTCAAACCAGGGGGAAACTGTACAGAAGTCGTCTAACTGGGTACTTCTGTTCCATTAGTGTTTCTGACATGAAGCAATTATGTTTGCATGACTTTATTTCAGTTTGAAGAATAAGATATTCCCACTCTTCAAACCGATATAATAATAAATTATCCAAAAATTGCAATAGGTATAAAAATTTTTACCTAAGCTCTCTACTTCTCAGTTACATAATGATATATTTGCGTTTTTTCAAGAAAACTAATTTTAAGGAAACTCACTTTTCACAAACTATCTTTATAACAATCCATCTGTTAACAACATTTTTTTGTAATAATTCTCATCTGGACTCTTCTCAACAGGACAAAAAAAATACAATTTCAAATAAATTTAGAAAACGATTATGACAAAAAATACATTAGATTTCTGGGTTAGCACTAATGGAACTTATGTTAAAAAATAACGCATGTACGCTTTTTAGATAAACGTACAAAAAAAAAAATCAAAATTTACTTCGAATTCAATATATAACTTTTCAAATTTCAAGTTCATTTATATAATAAAATATTTAATATTTTATGAAGTTTGTTCAAAACTAGTTCCTATGTATGTATGTATAGCAGCAAAATATAGGCCCTAACCGAAAAGAAATCCTTATAATGAAAATTATATAAAAAATGAGATACATGTTATGTAATATGACAGTATGAAATATACGATGTCTCGAAACACGACGTCGAGGGCAGAGTAAAGTAATAAAGAAAATCAAGAAAACCTAACCCTACTTGCTATATTGAACTTTAGTGACGTGTTTAAGAAGACAACACTATTTTAGTATATATTTATAAATATATTCAAATTCATACATAGTTTCTTAAAGTTATATGTCAAATAGGCACAGCAATAAATACAACAGGTGAAGAGAAAACATAGGTACCTAACGAGAGGTATTTCAGTAATCGGGTCGGACTATCGCATCGGCAGCCGATTAGATAAACTCGTGGAGCGGTAAATATTTAACTAGTAAACAATGATTGGTCTGAAGTCACATGTGACTTGGTATAAGGTGGATTCAGGCGACAAATCAACAATTATATCAGAGAGCTGAACATTTATAATCTTACAAATTTTAATAAAAATATTTCTATCAACAAAATACTATGTTCGTATGTGTATGAGTTTATATGTATATGTATTTATATATTTATATGGATTTATTTCAACATCTATCAATAAGTTAAAATGTACATTTATATATTCATATTATTGTACGTATTTAAAGGTTGCCTGGAAAAGACCGCTCTTAGCGATAAGGCCGTCCATTGTTTTCTCAGTGTAATTCTTTTATTTTAATAAATAATTTAATTTAATTTCTTTTTTTTTATTATTTGTATTAATAATAAATTTACTTATGTATTTTTTTTAGAAGGAAACAATAGAAAGTATCTTTCTGTCTACTGTACTGCCACTTTGATATTTGTTTCTAAAAATTCTATGACTTAGGTACTAGATGTTCCTAAATCTAAATTACTAGGTTCAATAGCAACATTGATAAGAACTAATGAAAATTGCCTAAACAGCTTAACGAATTTTACTTATTTATAATTTTTTGTTGTAAATATTTTGATAGATAGGTTACATTTCTAAATACATATAAATGGAATATTCTGTAAATAATGCCATTTCTTTTTATTATATTGCACAAATATGCTTGGTATTTGCAATGGCGAGAACAATACCGTGCCTTCAAAATATGTACAGGATGGGTGTACTTATTCATTTATTTGAGCATCGTTACAAGTATTAAATATGATCTGTTACTAACAGAATGTAAAGAACACTGTCATTGCCGTAGATGTGCAAAGTCTACATAGCACATACATTGCTATGTGTTCTTCTAATATTTAAAATATAAAAGTGAGTAAAGATGTTTTTATGCCTGGATATTTCTTTATGAAAAATATGAGCTCACAGAGAGATCATATCTTAGATTAACGCAGTAGGTATAATATAGGACACAACTAGTATTGAATAAAAAAGTTTGTGTAGACATTTGGAAGACGAAGGCGGATGCGGGTCGTAGCAGTTACCTATTAGCATTTTACACACATGAAAATGATTTATAATAATGCTCATTAGTTTCTAAGAACGTGGAGATTAAGGTACTATGACATGTTTCCTCTCTGATCGATTATATTAATATCATTTTTAAATTAATAATATTAATGAATATTGTTTGGAAGAATGACGAAATAGTATACTTACAATATAAAAATTGAAAAGATGGATATTTAAGGAGGTCTATACTACTTTACTATTATTAGATACGTATATACTGTATCTGTATATACTGTCTAGAAGGACCCAAGAGACTTCGATACCGTCCATTATGTTTGAAGCAAATTACTAAAATAAACGAAGCAAGATGATTTTATGAAAGGATAAAGGACTTTAGCATTCAAACCTCTCTGCCTATTTTTTAAAGATAAAAATGAAACAAAGTAATTCATTCAATAAATTTAATATTTTCATAATAATTTATATGTAACACGTTTTTACAGCCTTAATAATTTCTAAAGAGTTTCTCTTTACAGTTTACATGAAATCTAATATGGAATGTCGTTAAAATGGAACTATTTTATATAACTTCTCACACACCATATGTATTATATGTAAAGAATACTATCATATAACATGATATATAGTTTAGTTGCGGTAACTGTTCACACAAGTCATTATATACACAATATACATTTATTATTTCTACGACGCTACGTATGTAGGTACGTAATACGTATATTAATATAAATTTTTATTTGGAATATACATAAATAATCTACTACACAAGTATATTCGACTATGATAATACTGAATCTTACGACTAAATATTGCATTCTGATAAAATCTGGTCATTTTTATAATATTACTTAACTAATTTTTCTCAATGGCTTTTTACATTAATATACATACAATATCCAAACAATGGATCGTATTCAATCATAAATATTCACCTTAAAGTTATTTGGACATTTTCAAATAAATATAATATTAACTGTCGCTTCAAGATTCATTACAGTTAAGTGTTAATTATAATACAAATTACTAGGAACTCCAGATACCTTAAATTTCCAATTAAAGTAGCCAAACGAAGGTACTACCTATTCGTATTATTCTATTCGAGTTGTTCTTTAACTGATATCATATCAATTTTAAAACTAAACATTTGAAACTAATATAGTGTATCATTTATTTGTAGGTAAATTTTTTATTAGGTAATGTTTAACAATCGCGATAAGCTTGCAAAGGCCGTTGACTCTAGCTTGTGTTTCGATTTGATAAATTGAAACATTATTGTTCATACAACGTTTGCAAACAAATGGCAAAAGATCGACTAGTATATCACTGAAATGTTTGTAAGGATTTTTATCACCACCAACACCCACTGGACTGCGGCGCATGAGCCGAGACTGGGGGCTGATGATGCATCGGCTGATACGGAGGCAGGGACATGCCCAATGGCGGTAAACCATCAGGCTTTCCGATACAAGGCCTGCCATCCTTCACCAGTACAGGCACAGCGACTCGCCGTGGTGAATTCAAACCGCCTACATTTAAATCGTGCGCACCCTTTTCCTGGACCGCACGTTTAGTCTTATACCTGTGGTTTTGGAACCATATCTTAACTTGCGTCGGCGTTAAACGTATCAGGCTCGCTAGATGTTCCCTTTCCGGCGCTGATAAATACCTCTGTTGTCGGAATCGCCTTTCCAATTCGTAAGTCTGAGCTTTTGAAAACAGAACTCGTCTTTTTCGTTTTTTATGTGCTAGACTTGGATCGCCGATATTGTTGGGTAACTGGTCTTGGTCGTTTTCATCGTCGTGCTCTATGTCGTTATCGTTGTCGTGGTCGTGTTCGTGGTCATTGCGGGGGTCAGTAATGGGGGGAGAAGCTGCAGGCGCTCCAACGTAGGACAGCTCAGATGCCCGTGAAGTACTGTCAGGGCTAGCTTGTTGTCCAATTATACCTATAACAAAATAACGCAATATTAGGAAAAAATAAAAGGAAATTAGAGAGACAATACATTAATCACATTGTTGTATCTATTAATTAGGTGTATCTACTATATACAATACATATGTTGTTACTCATTATTATTGCTGTGTTATTTGGGTTGCAATAATTTTTTTTTTCTTAATTATTACAATGTATTATATCTTGTTGGTCGTGTGGTCTCGACATAGAATAGGCCACCTCTTCCTTTCCCGTTTCCCGTGAGTGTCGTAAGAGGTGACTGAGGAAGGGCGAGGGATGGGCAGCAGCGTCTCTCTTTAAACATCTCTAAACCCTGACTACGGTTGCCAATCCGTCTGCCAAGCGCGGCAACTATTGGCAAAACCCCCCACGGGGGAGGCTTATGTTTAGCAGTGAACAGTTAAAGGATGATATGATGATGATTGTATTTTGTTAATTGTTGTTTGATCTTTTATTGATTATTTATTTATTCATACAATGAGAAATTCAGACTTGTTAACTATAACAGTAACAATCCACTATAAAAAGTGGCTGATCGTGTACTAGTATTAAACACTCGCATCAAAATCTCCACTTAATCTCTGAGGGTTGCGCTCTATTTAACTCCAACTAGGAGCCGTTTGCATCCAGTCAAACAAATAATGGAACGTGAAAAAGTCGGTGCAAATATTACATTGTTCGCCACCCCTTATACATTAAGGGTTGTTTCACACGGGTCTGATAATGCGGGCGGGCGGGCGTCGCGTTGGGCGTGGAGGACGAGCGAGGGTTGCGTCGAGGGCGGCGGGGGGAGGCATGAGGCAGGGGCCGAAGAGACAAGGCGCCACGCCCATCCTCTGGCAGCTGGCAGCTACTTTTGTTCAACGATCGCTCTGTTTACCTCGATAAGCGCACCCAGGAAATTTAATAAAAGTATTGCCTCTCGTTATTACGCTTTTATCTTTCTCTACCTAACAAGGGCATAGGTAACGATTCAGTTTATTACAACTCTTAAGTTCACTATATTTTTATCAATCGTAGGTAACATTAAGTTTTATACCATATATAGGTGTACTATTTAATTATTGTTCGCATCCAATCTTGTTATAATACTTTTAATAGAAAAAAAAATCTAACCTACGAATACATACACCTTTATATAAACGTTATAAGATCTGATTACTGGAAAGCTAATCAAAGAAAACTATCTAAATGAGTCATAATTTTACTTAAAACTGATAAAGAAAATACCACTGTTATTATTTAATCTATGGCATCATTGCCAATATTAATCGCAACGTAGCCATATTAATGTATAATTATATAACTATTAAAGTTTAATCGCACATATATAACTGTCGCCGAATAACAATGAGATTCCCTAACAAGAACAACCGTGTAATTGATAGTCGGCAGCTGTCTCTGGGATGGCTGTTCAGGGGCATGAGCGCTATTGGTGACACATTCGTTTCGCTCGCTCCCCTCGACACAAACAATCGATGTTTGGTGGCGACCCTAAATTGGCCTTGTGGGGCGTGAACTAGCCACAGTCCCGTGTGATGTTGCATTTATATTAATTACACCTCTAAACACTTGGGAAATATCTAAACTACAGATAAAAGTAGTAGTTGCTGTATTATTGCCTATATTATACTTTCTATAACATTATTTCTAATAGGTAGATATGTATTTAGAGTATACAAAAGTGTAAATAAATTGTTGGGCCTTAGTACCTATATAAAAGAAGTAAAAAAAAAAATTACAATAAAAATAATTAAAAAATTACCTATCTATTCTCACAGCATAGTGATACGAAATAGTCATAATATCATTGAAATCGAGATGCGAAAAGTAAAAAAAAGTTTACAATAAAAATAGTTAAAAAATATCTATTCTCACAATATAGTGATACCAAATAGTCATGACAGGAATCGAGAAGAAATTCAATTGAGTTAAGAGATAAAGATTTTTAAAAGTAAAATCCCATTATTTAAGGAGTTTCTGATAGAGTTCTGTGTAAAGCGACTGGGTAGTTACCACTATCTTATCTGTGCTTGCCGTGAAGCAACAATACAAACACTGTTATTGTCTCTGTTTGAATGGTAAGATAAACAGTGAAATCCCTGGGATACGATGTATTATACCTTATTACTCAGGAATAACAATGAATGAGGGGCACCTACCTACCATTGGTGAAGCAGTAAATCTACACTAACATTTTAAAGAGAAAAGATTTGTATTTTTGTATGTTTATAACAAAATAACTCAAAACTAATGGACCGATAACAATAGTTCTTTCACAATCAAAATGCTACATTATCGAAAATTAATAATAAAAATAAACTAATTACATAATAAAGAACAAAATGAGCCCAAAATGTGCCTATGAACACCTGCAATACCAGAGACATTACCTATACCCCCCTTTTGAAGCTAATTACTTTAAATACTTTGTAAAAAAAATAAACAATTGTATTAGGATTCTTTTTTAGTAATCTTTAATGTATAGTATATTCATTATGTTAAAAATTTTATTTAATATCTATACTTTCAAGTAATTTAACTATGATAAAAAGTTCTTTTCTATAAGGGATACCATGTATGTCGCAGGATATTTTAAGATATCTATGGTAATGTCCATATAGACAATCGACGGTTTAGCATCATTTTAAAATTGTATAGAAATATGAATTAAAAAATAAAAATAATAAATCTGTTATCTGTAATCTTTTAATCCGATGATTTTATTTCCTATCGCTTAAACATATATGGATGGAGGACATTGAAAATGTTACATATAATTATCTCAAAACTCCGTGGGACTTTTTTGATTAACACGACAATTAATCACTAAATCTAAATTGTATAAGCAATTAAAAGTACAAGTACAGTGAGTGTCAAAAGTGCTCGATAAGCGATAAAAATAATTAGTGACAACAACAGATTAACAGGCGAAGGCACTCCACTAGAGGATCATTTCAAAAAATAATCTCAGGCTCTTGAGCGCACTACCGAACGCCTATTATTTCGAGTGGGTCATCGCACTTATTTGTGTATGATAATTCAACTCTTACATCACGAGTGCCAATTTTGGAGATATTACATGAGTAGTTACATCTACAAAATTGATGTTATAAATATATTTATTACCTGATAATATAATAAATTCGGTTTGATTGATTTACTTAATCAGTCATATTTTTAACTTACCTATGTTGTTGAACGACTTAAGTACAACAAAAACTGCAAAAAATATAAGAAAAAGTAATAATTATATGACGATAGTATCTTTCAAACTTTTTGTTAAATTTTTAAATCTGATCTTTTTTATATTATTGTTATTTACTCGTAGATAAGCTACAAAATTTCCATAATGAAGACGATTTTAATTACATCCCATCATTTAAAATGCATTTACATATCACGCCGAATATAAGCCTTACCCTCTTTTTTCTGGTAAAAAATATACTGAAAATTAACTGTATTATTGTTATTATATTTTTGTAAAACTTTTATTCAATTTTTAACTCGATGTCTATATATATAGACATCGAGTTAAAAATTGGAATATATAAAATGGGAAATTAATGAACGCAAAACACTGTGAATTAGTTCCAAAAATTAAATTTAAAGTACAGAAAAAATGTGGAAATAATTCTTTTCTACTGAGGAATTGACTAGATTACCAGGTAAAATATAAGTGTACATTTTATGGAGCCACATAGTTACTACATGGTATCGGTCAAAATCATATGTAAGTAAAGGAATTTCGATGTCATATGTCACATTTATCTGTTACAGGTAATAAGATATATGTGTCATTTTTTACAAATTCTGTTAACGCAAGTACCTATTTTGATAACATTATCAAGTGATAAAAAATCATTCGCCAGTGTAAACTAAAACATGTTTATTTAAAAATTTTCTAGGTTTTTATAAGTTTTAGGTTTTTCTAAAGTTTCATCTTTTCCATATGAATGTGCAAATTAAAAATATCCTGAACATTATGATGAATAATAATTTAGAGAGGATACAAATGGACATCATAAAAGCAATAGATACTTAACTTTTCAACCAAATTCAAAGAAAAAAAAATTCAAAAAAGAGGATGTTCTTCATTCGATAGTGTTTGTGTATACATATGTATGTTACGCGATATGTTGGACAATTCTGAACCGATTTTAATAATTGATTTTGTATTCTCATCAATAAGTTTCGTACTAATTTCATTATACCTGAAGTCTGAAGTAATTTTTATGAGAAAAAACTGATATATCTGACAACAAAAAAAAATTTTACACTAGAAGTAAATACTGAATGTAATTTTTCAAGAGTAGACATTATAATTTAAAATAATATAAGTGAAGAATGGGTGTGTATGTACTATATTTTTCAATTAATGATAATAGACTTGTATCCCGCCTGCGCTATCTGTATATGCTGGCAGTGTACCAGTAAGAGATAATAGATGAGGTTGAAATTAATTCAACAAAAATTAACCATAATATTTACTAGGGCTTACCATATACCATTAGCAATGCACGGGACTACTAATCCCTGTAATAATAATCCTTTTCTTTTTATGTATATGTGTTTATTTATTTATTTATAAAACACACCAACAATATGCTCACAACAATTAAGCAGGCAATGTACAATATTATACGTAAGTACAAAAGTTTATGTACAAAATACTTGATCCACTCCTGTATAGGTATATTGCACGCATACATAATTAAATTACCATAAAGGGGAAACTGTCAAAAAGGGAAATAAAGAGTTATTCTCATAATGTGCTTTTATCACTCCTCTTAATTAAAATATTATATTTTTTAAGGGATATAAATGCAATAGTAACCCAGACTGTGATTCAGTGTACACGAACAGGGTACTAGTGAGAAAAAAATATGAGGATGAACTCAGTTTAGTCAGCCCATTGCAACTAATTTACTAGGTATTATCACGATGGTTTCTAAGGTCTAGCTGCTAGCAGTGGTGGTTCTATTATTATTTCACATTACTAAAAATCCTATACATCGCAAATATAACGAATACTCATAGCTGGATTTAGAGCCATTGAATAGTTTAGTTTTCATGTACCTGCCCATATACTAACTCTTTCAGTGGTATTAATCTGATGATATTTCGACATCTAATTTATTTATCTAACAATTTCCTCTATAGTTATCGGTAGTCACGTATATATAACGTAGAAATGATAAGTGGTAACAATCGATAATTCCTTAAACATAAGAATTGATTCACATACCTCTCATTTGCTTTGTACACGTGAATTAGGATAAAAAGTATTCTATGCAATAATTTCAGCCATTAACTCTCTATTACTGAACATAAGCCTTCCCCATAAGCAGAGTTCTGCCAGTAGTCGCCACGCTTAGAAGGCGGGTTAGCAACCACAGTTAGGCTTTTAGAGGTGTTATAAGAGGGACGCATTCTATGCATTAATATTATTCTTATAATAAAATAGTAACTAGATATATTTATAAAAAAATTATATAAGGGCTGTTAATAAGACCAATATGTCTATCTCTACGTTTGTCCTGGCATCACGCAAAAACTGCTGCTCCAAATTAGATACTCATTTCATAGTTATATTCCTGAATGTCTAACTTAAAATCTGATGTATATTTTATCTCTATGCGCCATCTTCTATAATATTATTACTGAGTAATATAGGCTGTATTTTGTTTCAAAAAAAATAAAAATATTCTACCTACTTGTACTCAAATATCTTTGTAAACTTTCGTATATATAATATTAGTACGCCATACATTGTACATCAGAAAAGTAATATTATAGTATAAAAGATTCTGCTTAACAGGAATACTCAAATTGAAAATCTCCTCGTTTTAAAGTCGGTTAAAAATAAATTTGGCATGACAATAGATTAATATGGGTGACAAACCACTGTATGAAGACTCCTTACACTGTTGCAATATTATTAAAGAATATTGATAATATTATTATATATATTTTTTTATAAAACAGGGGGATAAACAAGCATGTAGCTCACGTGATGGTAAGTGATTACCGACGCCCATGATCACCCGTAACACCAGAGATATTGCAGGTATGCTGTCGGCCTTTTAAAAAGTAATATGCTATATAATATGAAAATATAAAATAATTCCTTTGGAAATTAACACATAATATCCACTAGTAAGTAACAAAACGGATTATAGTTTTGACTTCTTTTATTGTTTGATTTTCTAAGAGAAATTCAGTATTTTAATGTTTTTCAATAAACAAGGCCAGCCCATTGTGCATTGGGCCAGTGGGTTTATTTTGTGCTTCTGACACGAGTAGCACTGTAAGTTTCCAGTTTCAACGACGCGCGGTGTCGTGTTACTTACAAAACATTAGCAGTAGACGTAAACACTAAAGTAATGGCTGTCGATAAGAAGCAGGGCTCTCAAGTGGACAGGAATTTTATTAAATGTAATTATTTAAATTTAAATGTAAAAAATAATTTTGCTTGTGGTTATACAAATTTTAGATAGAATAGTTGACGGTACTTAAAGACCGTTGCTTACTTTTTCAATTATTGCAATTATTGTGTTATAATTAAGTAAAAAATATATTAATAAGTTACGAAATATGTGTCAAAGTTAAAAAATGAATAGTTGAAAATTTTATACCTCAAAACATAACTAATTCAATCATAATAAACAAAATACCGAACTAAATTGGAAATAAACCTATTGATTGCAAAAATAATTATAAAAATAATCCACAAATGAAGAAAACGTCGTGTGTCTTTTTTTTAAATTACTCAAAAAGGAAATTATCTGTTGCTTTAAAAACATAACATTCTAACTGCTTTATATTATCAACAATAAAGTTTTGACAAAATGTACAACGGACTTAATTAAGTCGATGAATTGACAAAGAGGAATCTTGGCATATCTACAACATAATGTCAAACGCTAACTTTTTTTGTATAAAAATTGAATTGTAACCCCAACTTGTACTATTGAGTAGAATGAATAAGTGAGAATAAAGTCAGGTCGGCTCTTTATAATGAATTTACCAGAAATTAATCACAATGGTTTCCAAGAGCGTATATAGGCTGATGTGACAGTGTACATATATAACTAGCGATGGAGCCTGTAGTCCCCCTTAGAAACTATCGTTTTCTTCCACACTTGTAACTTAAGCGCGATTATATGTTCCTGCAATGAAAATAGTTAAGTAGTAATTGGCATATGCTATTTACCATTTCCTTCATGATGGTCCAGTGATAACCAGGGTTGGTGATGCCGCAGAAGCTCGTGGGAATAGTGAGGCTGCGGTGGAGCGTACGGCGGCAGGTCTAAGGAGCACGGTCCTAAACCCTGAGTCGACGACTGCTCCAAACCCTTCCCCTCATTGAGGCCCAATATGTCAGAGATTTGAAATCCTGGACGCTGGCCCGGTAACTTCATGCTATCCAGAAGTCTGCAATGAAAATATGAATTAATAAGAATATTTAGACAAATTATAAAGACTAGATTCGTAAAACGGAACAGTTAAATTGATTATATGATATTGTTTAAAATATTTGTACTTTGTTCCACTGTTTTTTTATTGTCAAATGTTTATAATATTTTTACACGCGACCGGTTTCATGCGAAACAAAAACGTCACAAACTAATAAAAGATAACGGTGCGCTTGTTATAATGAAATGTTTTAAGAATTAAAACAATAAATATAAGAGTTAAGTTATATAAATGAATGAATGAAAATTCTTTGTTGTTCCCCTCAAAGAAGAGAAACAAGAACATTATATTGATATGTATCAATATCTATGTAAATAAATTCTTGTATGCACATATTTATTGTATTTTAAAAATTTATAATTGTCATTCAATAATGAAATAGTAGGTAAAATCTAAGTAGAAATTGATTTTTATGTCACAAATTTAAACAGTAAATAAATTATTATCTTCCTTGTACACTTGTAAAATTACACGTGTGTTTTACTTTCAAGAAAGAAATTTGCAGAAATTTGCAAAAGAAAAATGTAGGGCTCATCCATTTATTTTTCTGATCTCGCGGTATGTCTTATGGCTTTGCGTGGTGTATTATGAAAGAATTCTTAGGAATTCTGATTCTCTTATAATACACCGTAAATACTAAATTATTTAATTTACCCTAACAAATCTATATTTTTTTATAAAAACATACGCTCATAAATTAGCGTACTTAGTTATTTTTTATACAACTTAGAATAGTAAACAAACTTAAGGGCCACCTGATGAAAAGTGGTAATCGTCACATATAGAAGTGATGTTTAATAACTATATTTATATATAATAAATTAATTTTCTTAGTCTATATCGATCCAATTTATTCTGTCAGTGACCGAGGCTACTTCACTCAGCTTTAATCTATTCATAACATTGTTTTTCATTGTCGAAATGTTAATTGTTTCAAGAAATAAACTCAATTAACACAACCCAGACTTACTAACACTAGCTCATAGTCCCAGGTGATTATAGCTATTGAGTAAAATTTATTACTGAGATTTTTGTAATAATAGAAATATGAAAATGTGAATGAATGAATAAAACAATAAATAAGCATTTAGAACTAATTGGCGGTTGCAATTCAAGAATGAACAAAAGATTTAAACGCGCTTTATTAAACATAAAATTATGAAGATTAAGAATTATATTATAATCTTTAATGAAATATAATTTTATTTTTACTCGCTATAAAATACTCGTACAATATCTAAAACAAATCTTACTCTGTTCATTTTGTAAAAGAATTAAAGAGAAACGTCTCACAGCTTAACAAAGCACGTCTGAGAGCGTATAATTGAAAGAAAACATACGACATTCCATCAACAGGACAACCATTATTGGCTAAAGAGGACCTCTCCAGAAAACGTGACCCGTATAAAGGAACAGTCGTAAGGACTGAATGCGTAGGATCCGATGGCTGTCTATTAATATATCAGAATGTTATTACACATAGCCGTGAAATGTTGTTGCCATCCCGTACGTGACGATATGAAAGGGCGGCACTCGTAAGAGCCTTTAGCAGGTTGTAAACAGGACTATTAACAAGCTCTCACTAAAAGAGGTGCAAAAACTGTCACTTCGGGTGTCACGATTCTTTGAACTTTGGATTAGTACTGTAAAGTCGACTTAAGTGCTCACCAACACGTATACTTACCGGAACCTTGCCTTATTGAAAAACTAAAACATGCAAAAATGTCTAATGCTCTCTATTTCCATACATTCCATAAATATTTAACGAAATAAATACGCAACTTTTATCAATGAGAAAGAGTTCGTAATAACAATAATAAACACAAATTCTAAAAGAATTCAAGATAATTAAATCCTAAATGCTTATTATGCACAAATCACTAAATCACAGTCTCCGTAGCTCACCCTGGAAAAGCTGATCTGAAAGCCGCCGGGTAAAGCGCCGGCAGGAAGGCCGGGCCCCAGGGCGGCAGCAGGATGGGACTCCACGCTAGTAGCGACGCTGGCGGTGGCAGCAGAGGCGGCGGCGAGCGCGCGCTTTCGCCCTCCTCACACTTCATCTCCCGACCGGGAGAACTCGCTTTCGGAATAATCTTGACGGCTGGAGAAACACTCGCGTGAACACGTGCTGCGTCTCTCGACGCCGCGTCTGCACTAAACAACCCTCGAGTGGCCCTCGGGGTGAAGAACACCCCGCGCCGCCCTCGTGCCTCGACAGCCTACTCAGCTCCGGACTAGCCTCGAGGGTGCTCCACTGACCCCGTCCAATCGGAAGCCACCGACGACTGGGCGGGTCTCTCGCCGACCAATGGGGGCCGCTCCAAGTCTTCCCAACAAAAAAACTGGAGTATACACTTTGAATAGAGGAGCTTTCGACGTAGCGCGTTATATTATGTCGCTTTTTGTAATGAGTGCGAGCGTTAAGCCCATTGTTGAAGCTTGGTTCGTTATGGACGCCGCTCTAAATGTCCGGATAACGATTTTAATTTAGAGTGTTTGTAGTAATTCCGTGTAAACCCGTGTTTATAGAATGATTAAACTTTTTTCTAATAAAAGGGAGCATTTGAAAAAGTTTCAACATTTTATAATCTATGAATACCCATATATTGGCGCTACTAGCTAGCTCTTTTTTGAAACATTTACCTATTCTATAATAACACAAGACAATCTTTTAAATGCCCAACTTCCGCAAGTTACTATAGGTTACAAGTTCTTTGAACCGAGAACATTATATTGCAGACTGTACCTAAGCTACAATTTTTAATATCAGGATAGCTGTTAGTTTTTTGTAACCGTAGTGACTGGTATCTATACTTATTTCCTTTTGTCGGTCGAATATGCTAATAATCAAAATACGAGTAAGCTGTTGCACATGTGCAAGAACTTAGTTCAACATTGTCGACCATAAGACAATTGGAATGGTCCTCAACCTTCTACGAACAGGTAAAAAGACCACAGTCATGACGGTTTATGGGTTGCACGTGTGGACTCTGTATTGTATTCGTTTATGAAAGTATTTATTGTTACAGCAATAAGCTTGTACTTTGCTTAAATAAGCTAAATTAGGGGTGATATTTAGAAAAAATAATAAACAATGCAAATATTTCATTTAATAGAAATCTAAATAAATATATTAGTTTTTTTTTTTTTTTACTTTCAATCTGCGTGTTTTATAATAGCGTGTTCATTTAGATAAACTATGACAATTTACCTAAATTTTTCTCGTCGTTTCGACCCAGTATGTACTTACATAAAAAGTGTCTTTTCTATTAATAAATTTAAAAAAATATAATACTTAATATATTTGTACTTACTTCCATTGTTCTTAAATATTAAAAACTAGTATTAATGTATTAATGTTACCATAGGGAGACTTTGTACAAAAATCGATTGCATGGGTACCTCTGTTCCATTCGTGTTTCTATCGTGAAGTAATTGTGTTTGCATGGCTGTGTTTCGGTTTGAAGGGTGGGATATGGCGTGAATTTACAGGGTACAGAGGAATAATACCTGAGTCCTCAGGAATGGCAACGCATGGCGGGGTATCATGGGCGAAACAGTATACTTTGTTATGTCCATGGTACTGCTCATGTCTATAGGCGACGGTTACCACTTTCCATCAGGTGGGCCTTCAGCTTGTTTGCCATTCTAAGTTGTATAAAAAAAACTAAATATTAATTTATTACGACATAGATATATTAATATATCTAATATATATAATTAAGAAAACATTTATTTGTATCTATTATATCGAAATAATAATAGCAAGAAAGTATATTGTGGTATTTAAATGTATTGTTATAGTTAAGAAGTAACAACAATTTATTTTATGACTTGCAGGTGTGTGGTACTCAAATTGAGTGCAGATCAGAACAATAGTAACAAGTTATAAGTAGACGGTACTTTAGATAGAATGCCATTTAATATTTTTATTATAAGGCTAGTTTTTTGTCTGTTACATACGCGTAATTTAAAAAATAGGAGAACCGATTAAATGAACCATTTCTTGACGGCATTTTAAGATATGCATCAGCTTTTAAATTAGAACATAGAAATTAGCAACACGATTGTAAATTGCATCTAATTTGATGTAGTATTTTTTGCGAAATAATATAGACAGGCATCCAAAAATTATTGTTTTAGTCTTTATTGCTCTTATTATTTTTTACAAATATTTCGAAGATAACAAAATAACTTTATTATTAAATATTTATTAAAATACTTAACTACCACTATCATTAAAATCCTTTAAAACAGGAATCATAAATTTTATTTGTGTGTTGTTTATATATATGGAATATTAAGTTTAGTTTTACTAAACTATCTTTAGCTGAAGAGTTTTTTTCTTCGAATAATCTGTACCTAGTTTTCTTTCAGCTTCTCAAAAATAGAGTGTAAGAGATCCCTGTATAGGATTGTCTATTAAATTGTCTATTAAAAAAAAAATGTAAAGAATGTACAATAAAGATTTTACAATACAATCGTTCATGTACAAACATTGTCTAGTTACAACGTTATTTTATTAAGTAAGGATGTGACAAAATTTGAGGAATCGATACTAAATCTTTATAATTTCGTAATTGTAGTCTCTAATTATTACTGTTATTATAATCATAATGGAAATAACGATATAAATCTGCAAATCTTGTCATACTAAAAACATTATATAGATATGTAGACGATGTATGTACGTGGGAGATATTTAACAAAAATATTTATATGAAGGATTTTAATAAGACCAATAAAAGTTAAAACAATATTTTTTAGAAATCTTGTCCATCATCTGTCTGTATGTTTGTTCCGGCATCAAGTAAAAACTAGTACACCAAATTGAATCGGTTTTCTAGTTGTGTTCCGGAAAGTCTCACTTAAAAACTGGTACACTCGTATGTTTTACCTTGATACTCCATGAAGAAGCAGAAGTGACCTATATTCGCTAGTTTTTGTACTTCTGAAAT